CAGAAGAGTGGATTACATAATTTAAAAACTTTAAATCATTAGTAACGGAGGTGTATGTAAAAATTTATAGGGGAAATAAGAAATTGGTGTGAATCTCAAATTTACAGTCACAAGTCAACATGTAACACCAAAAACCTTAACTTCACAACTCAATATCTTACTCATCACTCATCATGTATAGTTCATATAGGTGTCATAAATGATCAGTATCACGAGGGCTACAAGATGCACTATAGTAGTTCAAAATTGGACCCCATCTGAAAAAATTCATAATCTCAAAAATTGGTTTGCAGCTAGTTTACAAGGAAAAAATCAGCTGTATTCATCTTAAGAAGTGCTGTATATTAAATCATTGTGTCATTGATCACTTTTGGCTGTGAAAATTACATCATACATTAGTAACAAGATCATTACATTGTGTCATTACATGGTTTTTAGGGTTCTTTAGGCGAATTTGGCTGGTTTTTGAGGCTGTTGACTATTGTAGAGGTTGTTACATGTGGATATAAGTACTCCTTGATGATTTTGGGATTGTTTTTCCCCTTTCTGCATCTTATACCTTTGTTGTAGTGTTATAAATCATCAATTATTTACTGTATTTGTACTAAGATCACTTAAATCCGCCCCTTCAAAGCAAGGAGAAATTTATTTACGTGTGTTAAAGACTATAAGTCAATTTGGGGATAATACTTAACAACAGTATTGCTAGTAATAACATAGTGTGTGGACGTTTTGCACTTAAAATATGGGAATAATACTACACAACAGTATTGCCTTATTTCTCTGGTGCCTTTATCTTTTTCTCTGTTATCACAAAGTGGTCAGCAAGTGCCCTTGTGCTGGTTTCTTTGAAGAAGGCAGTCTTTAGGCAACTTCTACCATATTACACGTAGTAGATTATCCCTTCTTTGGTGTTGTAAAGCTCTTGTTGAGCTTTAAATACTACAACAAGTACCCATTTTTCTGGAAAATCCCCACTGCCAACAAAACATCTCTCCCCTCTCCAATTGTAAAAGTAGATTGTGAACTTGAATCCAAAAGTAGTGAAAAATCAAAATTTGCGTAACTCTGGCGATAGAGGTTGTGTGGGAGTGTACTGTACACTGCCAGGCTCCGCCAAACTTTGCACATCCATCTATGGGGCAAACAAAGTTTTGTGGGAAAAATATGTGAATATAGCAAGCTGTTAGATCATTCTAGTTCTTTTCAAACTGCAATAAAAGGTTGAGGGCAGCTTCACGGCATCCGTATTTTCATCCGCTCTCATGAGTGGTGATTCTTACCTCCTCCGGCTCAGCCTACGCTACACTGCGTAGGAGTTCTACAACGGGCTTTTCCAAATGATGTCCAATCTTTGATTACCAAAGTGTGTCTTTCAGAGCTCCTGATACTGATCAATAAATGCTGCCATATTAGGTCCTTCTGATGAGTAATGGATGAGTTATTGAGCTGTGAAGTTAAGGTTTTTGTATGTCAATGTTGTTACATGTATGCAGGTAAGTGTAAAATTTGATGTTCACACCAATAAGGGTACTCAAAGTAAGTATGTACGTGTACATACTTTTTGCGCTATACTTTTTTTGGCGGGGAAGACGAGGCCAAAAGTATATTTTTTTCTTTGTCCCCGCCAAAAAAAGTATGTAGCGAAAAGTATGTAGCGCTACATACTTTAGTTTGAGTACCCTTAATTTCTTATTTCCCTTATAGATTCCTTCACACACCTCTGTTACTAATGATTTCAAGTTTGTACATCATGTAACATCGTTTGACACATGTAATAAGCTGAAAACCTCCATTTTCAACAAAATCCACCCATATTTACCACTTTACACAGCTGTTGCACCTACTCTCTTGCTACTGTAATGTTACATCATCATCTATAGCCTTCAAAATCCCAGAAAATCTGCTTGTCGACCTTAAATATCACTAATACCACCATTACATATGTAAACTACATGCAAAACCCTTGTTTATCAACTTCAAAAATGTACTATTTTTGTAATAACATCTATTCCTCCTTCTCAACCATCAAGATTAAAGTTTTTACTGAATAACATAATGCTGTTATTTCATATTCTAACCTCACAAAACCCATAAACCTAATATTACTACCCTAAAAATCATTTCCAAGGCTGTATACCTATATTTTTGAGTTTTTCTTATGTTTTTTTCCTGCTTTTCTTTTTGTAATTCATTTGTTAAGAGTTTATACTGGTCTAATACTTTATTTGAAATAAGATGTCCTAATCATGACATATTGAGCAGTACGTCATAAAAGAGCTTCTATTGATCACATTCCTTCAATTTTGAGTTTTCTTCCCTGCTGAACCTTCCCAATAACCTTGTTAAACTATTATAACGAATTTTTTTTGATTGATACCATAGATTTATCACCACAACAGTGCAAACAGAAACCATATAAAGTCAAAGAAGAAGGCAAGAGGGGATACAACATGAGGATCAAGAGCTCAGCACAAGTTCAAGCTTGCCAAGTGAGAACATCTGTTGTGCTGCAAAGGCTACAATTATGAAGATGCACTCTGAAACCAACACAATGAAAAGTTGATATTCAAACCTCTGTCATGCCAACTTGAAGTTGTGCTCTAAGTGTATACATGCCATTCCAAGCATCAAGATGTCCAAAAGGAATACTGTGAATCCATTTGTGACCAAAGAGATAAAGTATGCACTTCTAGGCACAAGATATACACCACATGAATGTAAGCTCTTGCTCCCTCTGCCGCAAAAACTTTGTAGAAAAGCAAGCACTTGCACAAGTCATCCACTGGATTCAAGGGGTAACAGGTTTGATATCCACTTTCAATTAAATTTCCGCATCTGCTCACATTTGGAGGACATGTGATTATTGACAATACTCCTATACAGCCCGCTTTTCACGCCTCTGCAAAGCTCATCCAAGTCCCACACTGCTTCTTGCATGCTTTGAGCATAGCCAGGGACTTATGGAGAAATTTTCATTCCTTATAAAACATACATGACTGCAACACAAAGTGGAACCTTGTTCACAGAAATATAGTTTTCCAGAACACCAGAAGGGTTCTGGTTTTCTGGGAAAACCCTTCTGGAAATCTCCAGAACAATTGTCCTACACAAAGTTGTTCTGGAACTTTTCCACAAAGGTTCCAGAACGGTTTTCCACAAAGCCAGAAAAGAAAATTTTGGCTGTGTTCTGGCTTTGTGGCCTCGTGGAAAAAAAACAAATTTGAATGCCCCTTGCCCCTAGGGTCCAAAGGACAGCGCAATCCAACCTGATTCAACCCTGTAGCTATTGATCGAGACCTCTTCATCTTCCCCCTCAACCAACTCTCTTTCTTCACCTCGCTTCCACACCTCTGTCCTCATACACCACACTGTAGCCTGAAAAGGACAAATGAGGTCCATGAATAACATTCTTTTGTGTACGAGAAGATTGATAGAAACACATTGATAGGAAGAGGTTTTGGAAGAGCATCATCGATTTTGAACAAGATCAATGTCTGATCCTTCAACAGACAATAATCTAAATTAGATTGGCTTGTGTTGAAGATTGACAGGAACAAGGTTTATTTGATGATACCAGAACAATTAAAATAAGCTCTTGGATCTTAAACGAGATCGATATCTATTTGAATCGATTTCTGATGTTAATTGCGAACTAAGTCGTAAAACCAAATCAATTAAATTTGCAAGATTGATAGGAACAAGTTCTAATCGATGATACAAAAAAAGCTCTTGGATCTTGAACAAGAGCAATATCTATCTGGGTCAATTTCTGATTTTATTGGTGGACCAAGTTTATGCATTAAATTGATTACATTCAAATTATGATTGGTCAGAATTTGAATGATTTGATGAATAGTGATTTGGTTTTCTCAGATGAATCTTGGGGTTGGATGAAGTAAGTTGAGAAAGGTTGTTAGGTCAATTTGTTGTTGAGAAATTTGATTGAAGCGGTACTTGAAGGGGAATCTCGTCAGGCATGTTGTGATGGGGGATGTCGGACTAGATTGGGGATGTGGCGTTTTGATCGAAGTCCAGAAAGCCAGAACGTATTCTGCCTTTCTGGCTTCGTGGAAAATGTGTTCTGGAACCTTCGTGGAAAAGTTCCAGAACAACTTTGTGTAGTATAAATATTTGTATACCATAATTGAAATCTAAGGCAAATTTGACACAAACCTCCAACCTCAAGGGAAAGTAAAGAGAGGAGTCCTTGGAGTCCTCACGTTTTTCAATAAGTCAATGTGTCTCAGAGAGGCAAACAAAAAACTTCTTTGCCTCATGACAATTCATAAATGGGGAAAACAGTCATTTATGGTCCTCAAACCTCTCCAAGAACCATACAAGACCAACCTGCAAGATCCATGCAAGAATTCTTGCACCAATTTTGCACATTGAAATTTCTGGCAACCCCAACTACATATTGTGTTCCAACTGGTATGAAAACCATGCAAGACCAACATGCAAGATCTGTGCCAGTTCTATTCATGTCTTGGACAGTGTGCACAAAATTGCATGAATTTTTGCATAGGTTTGAGGACCATAATCAAAGGAAGCCAGGTTTCTCCTGCAAAAATCATTTCGCTCACAGGCCACAGTGTTCCTAGTTGTCATATGCTGTCAAGTCCCTTGCTGCACTCAAAGCGTGTGCAAAGCAGTGTGGGACTTGGATAAGTTGAGGCCTCTGGGGGAATCCACAGGGAAAAAGTAACAAATCAAACATTCTCGCATGGGTATACATACATAGATTTTCAATAGACGTTTTCAAACTTTTGGGTGGTTTACATAATTCTGGGCACCTCTTGAGTCTTGCCTCAACCACACGGATCTAAGACAAAGAACCCCCGTCGTGAGCATGCTCTCTGGTGAACCGTGGATGAATTCATGCCGAGCTTTTGCGATTTTCTTCCTTGCCCATGATCGAGTCATCGACCATGGCTGTGTATTCAGATTGGTATATAATCCACCTTCCCATTCTGTTCTCCGCAATCTTCCGATGCCCTTGTCGCAGTCCAAATATATTCACAGGACCGTACTTCGATCCCTTCAGAGCCTTCGAGTTTTCACATCACCGACCGAATCCTAACGAATCTCTTGGTCTCTCATCCATCTCCTTCATCATTCTCCCTCTCTGATTTGCTCTACAAGTTTAGTCGAGCTAATTATCAGGCCAGAGAAAATATGACCTTCACTCTCGACTCGGCTTCCACCTGGAAAGATCGTCACTCGAAAGACAAATTCCCCAAATTTCAAAAACCCGACTTGGATGACCCAGGTCTGACTCCCGAGAAATTGGTGGACTTTCATGTCACTCATAACCCTAATTATCCTTTTGCCATCCTCCCTGCTTCTGAAAATCATCACGCCGAGAATGACATCATAACGTGGAACGAAATCGGAAATACGGTGATCAACATCGCACGAGATTTGAGTAGTGCAGGTTCAGCTCCCACCGATGCTTGTCCTCGCCCTGTCGTTGGAATTATCGCGTATAGTGAACCGTTGGTCTACTTCACTGTGATATTGGCTCTCATGAGAGCAGGATGTATCGTGAGTTTCAGGATGGAGTTTCCGATACTTGTGCCCTGGTCAACGCTTTGCGTTAAACGTTCATTGTTTGTTTGTGCGCCACAGCCCTTTGCAATTTCCCCGAGAAACTCTCCGGCTGCGATTACCCATTTGCTTCAATCATCGGGTTGTCAGAGTTTATATGTCGAATTCAACCCACAGCTGCTCACTCAAGATGTTCACAATATGTCAACTGGCGAGAAGATAAGTCGGGAGCAGATGGACGAGGTTCTCAAACTTTTGCCAGAATTTCATCTATTGAAGCTGCTTGAGCTTCCAACGGCACATAGCCTCTTCCCTCGTCTCTTCAGCCAGTCTGCACATCAATTCGACGCAGATGTTCCTCAGAAATTGGCATCAATATCAGCACCGCTTCGATCCCCTTGCGAACCAATCATGATTCTTCATTCGTCGGGTACCACTGCCTTTCCCAAGATAATCTACTTGAACCCAGCTGTGCTTCAATCTTGGATGAAATGTCCACTATACAACAGTTTTTGTTGGGAGGGAGAGTTAACTGCGGCCATGGTCTTGCCAGCCTTCCACTCGATGGGTTTTCATTTTGGATCACTCATCAACCTTTCTACGGGCTGCATCTCGGGACATTTCCGGCCGGAACTTGGGCCCGATGGGCGATGTAAGCCAAAGGTACCCAATTCATTCAATATCTTAGAAGCGATAAGATCCTTAGGTTGTACTGTAGCTTCTTTCAGCCCGATGATGCTTACTGTGAGTCTTTTTCATTTGAGCAATACGAACGAGTGTCCAGAAGGCTGATTTCGGCACTATATGTCTCAGGATTACGCTTCCGACCCATCGAGTGTTGAAGCCCTTCGAAATCTTAAGAGAGTGGGAATCGGTGGAGGACCTTTGTCCACTGAAATCGGCAATCACCTCATCAAGGGCGGGGTCAAACTTTGCATGATGTATGGCGCGTGAGTCAACCGCTTCCGGTGCTTCACCCTCTTGAATGGGTGGATTTTAATTGCTGACACGACATCGCTTCACAGAACTGAAGTCGGTCCAATTTCTGCGCTTTTATCTGAGCATTGCTTAGGAGAAAATTGGGAGTACTTTGAGATGTCACCGCAACTCACTACTCGTCTCATTCCACATGAAAATGATCTTCTTGAGCTTGTTATCTTGGTGAGTCACGAAGCCCAATCAAAAATTCAGGTAATTTGGAGGTGATACTGACTGCCTCTGCATCTCCAGTCCTCAGATAAACACCGATGTGCATCGACGGTGATAGAGACCGCTCTGTCACCTCAAACATATCACACAAATGACTTGATATGCAAACATCCAACCCTTCCCTTGTATCGTGTTGTGGGCCGTGTAGATGATCAAATCATGCTATCTAATTCTGAGAAGACTAACCCGTAAGGATTCGTACTGGATCATGGGATAACGCCATACCCTCTGTCTGATTATGAATTATTCTTAACTTTGTAGTGGGCCAATGGAAGCTATCATGTCGTTCAACCCTGCGATCAAGAGTGCACTGATGTTTGGACGAGGAAAGCCTCAAAATGGCGTGATACTTGAGCCGGAAGAATCTCATGCTATAGACATAACTAATGAAGAAGCTATGGAGGCATATATCGACCTGATATGGTGAAAAATTAGAACTTGTGATTTAGTACCTTGATTAATCGTCTCAGACTGACTGATGAATGCCTTTCTCTTTGTGATAGGCCCTCGATTGCGGAGGCGAACAAGTTTGGCCCCTCCCATAGTCGATTGACTCGTGAATTGATCATGGTCATTGATCCTAGGATCACTCCACTTCCTAGAACTCCAAAGGGTCAAATCTCACGCTACAAAGCTCTTGAGATGTTCAAGGACCAGATTGAAGCGATTTATACACAAGATCAGAAATCTTCACCATCATCTCTTGAAGAAGCATTTGACGCCAGTGGCGCAGTCATAAGTGAGAGTGTTCGGGAATGTGTCAAAAAGATTGTCAATAAGCATCTGAATTGTGATGTGAATGCGGAAGAGGATTTGTTTACTCAAGGGTGTGATAGGTCAGAGCATTCTTGAACAATAATTCCGAATCCCGCCTCTTCGCATTCTGATCTATTCTTTGCTTGAACAACAGTCTACACGCCCGACAAATCAGGGCACAAATTGTACAACTCATGAATTCAGGGCCCAACAGTCTCATAACTGTACCTCACAACATCATGTATCGATATCCTTCCATTGCGAAACTCTCGGATTGGATCATAAGTATTCTTTCACATACACCATTATTGAATCCCAAATCAGAAGAACTTTGTGAGTCATTGAAGAAAATGATATTGAAATATTCACCCAAGGTTTCTGTAAGGGTGGAAGTGTAGTGTATCTGTGTTATGGGTATTGCAGTCAGTATGGGTTTAGACCATTTAGGATATATCAGTTGTTTGGACTTCCCCCCTTATTCTTTTTTCCTTGTAGCTTTTGTCTACAGCCATTCTGATATTTGTTGTTGCTCACAGTTTTGAAAAGAAAAGTTTATGAGCTCAAAACCTAAGTTTTAACCAGTTAAAACCTGAAAAATGGCTGTATTTCCTTGAATTACAGCCAAATTCAAAGTTTTATCGAGTAAAAACTTAGGTTTCACCGAGTTTCACTTTTTCTTTTTCAAAACGGAGCGACAAGAAATATCGGAATGGCTGTATGCTGTTTTATCTCTATTTGTTTCTTTTGATTACTGGTTCTGATTACTTGAGTGCAGATTAGGCATGGGTAGCTTTCTTCTATTTAGTTCTATCTCTATTTGTTTCTTTTTGTTACTGGTTCTGATTACTCAAGTGCTGGATTAGAAATTGATTCAAGGGGTTTAGACTCCAGAACCTGCCAGCAAAGTGTTGCGCAGTCAGTGGATTATGTTCAAAACCTCCTGACACCATCTAGGGTTTGTGTTGTAAAACTCATTGCAAGGCTAGCTTAACAAGTTAACCCCTGCCAACTGCAAGTGTCCCCTGGATCAGCAGGCTCCAAGGGATGCCACTGACAATTAGCTGAGGGGCTGAGATGGAGTGAGCACATGGGCCAGCCCTTCCTCAGGCTTCTTGCCACAGAATGAAGCCTGAGGAAGGCCTAGTTCATTGGCTCAGTTCCTGTTGATCGTGTAATCAGCTGGAAAGCAGGAAGGAATAGAAAAGAAAAGGGAAAGAATTTGGAAGGAAAATTGAACAAATGTTGGAAAAAAACTCCAAGATTGCAGTGCTCACCCATGTGTGAGTGTCTATCTTTGTCCCTGTGATTGATATTTTCCTATATTTCAAAAACAAAGTAATGATGCCTGACAATTCTGATATCAAATTGCAGATCTTATATTTAAGATACAACAGCAAACTTGCTGGTAACCCTGGTCAAATGAGAACATTGGTGTTGTTGAAAAGGTTGTACTTCTGGCCTTTGATTAAGGAGTATGCAAACAGCTACAGATGGATTCCAGTCCTGCCAAAGAGTTAAATCATGTACTGAAAGCCCCTTTGTTAGCCTTCAACCACTGCCAGTCCCACAAGGACTGTGGCTGGATATCTGCTATGACCTAATCACTGGTGTACCAAAATCAACTGGTTTCATCAGCATACTAAATGTAGTAGATAGGTTAACAAAAATGGCACATTTCATCCCATGCACAAAAGAAACAGCCTCAGATGGATAAGCAAGAGTGATGATGAAAGAAGTGTGGTGGTTACACGGAACTCCACAAACAATCATGTCTGATGGGGGAAACATGTTCCTATCAAAGGTGACAAAAAAACTCAACCAAATGCTAGGAATTACAACTCAGGCATCAGCTATGTATCACCTGTTGAGATGCAATCAAGACTGTCACAATGAACTGACATGTCTGTATTGTGATATCTCAAACAGGTGTTAGCTGTGGTGATATGTGTGCTCTAGTTATGTTTCTTTTGTTTTGTGATCAGTCACTTTGAGAGTGGTCTTCTTAATCTTGTTCCAAATACCTTTGCCGCACATCATCCCCATTGTGTTTTCCAATCGAGTTATTGGGCCAATGTTATATGTTGTGAATTGGTTTCATGTTCCCACTCTCTTTCCCATCTTTATGGAAAGAGAGTAAGTCTTTTCTTAAAATCATCAAATCTATTATCAACACTAATGTAGGGATGTGTTACAGAACTTCCGTTTAGATCTTATCATTAGCTTTATTAAAAGCTTCTCTATTATTGTTTCTCATCTTTATCTTTACCTCCCACTATTTCAGGTACAAGATTTACTTTTGTTATTTTGCTTTATCACTTTCGCTAAAAACTCATTTCATCTTTCTTTCTTGTTTTTTCTACTTAGGTTAGTCAAAGGTCTGCATACCTTAGACGTGGAGAGAAGAGTGCTTATATTAGCACTGGTTTTAACAGGTTAGCTTTGAAATACATTAATATCTTTATGGAAAGAGAAATTTTAGATCTTATCATTAGCTTTATTAAAAGCTTCTCTATTATCGTTTCTCATCTTTATCTTTACCTCCCACTGTTTCAGGTTAGTTGAAGGTCTGCATACCTTAGACGTGGAGAGAAGAGTGCTTACATTAGCACTGGTTTTAACAGGTCTTCTTAGCCATTTACATCACCCACAAATGGATGGCCAGCCAGAAAAAACAAATAGAGTGGCAGAGTTATATTTATGGGATTTTACAATTATAAACAGGATGACTGGTGCAACTTATTACTGTTTGCTGAGTTTTTGTACAACAACAATCAGCACACACTAATTGGAAATTTGCCATTCAAAGCAAATTATGGTTACAATGCCAAACTGACATATGTCCCCACAATCAAACAATGTATACCGTTGGTAGAAAAATGAATGATTCAGATCAAAGAAGTTCAGTGTGAACTGAAGGATGCAATGAAATTGACTCAAGACAAGATAAAAACCCAACATTATAAGAAAGTTAGGAAGACAGCTAAGCCTGTATAGAAAAAAGGTATAAAAGTGTGGTTGATAGTAAAAACTTGTTTATCACACCCCAACAGCTAAGTTTGTGCATTGGTGGCTTGGACCATTTTCCATCACTAAACAAATTTTGAGCAATGCTTACAAAATGCCACTACCCAAAACTATGAGACAGATACATCCATTCTTTCACATTAACTTATTGAGGTAGATTCCAAAAAGCATAATAGAAGGTCAAGAACAAAGCCTACCTCCACCAATCATTGTTAATGACAAAGAAGAATTTGAGGTCAAGGAGATGTTAGGTAAAAGAAATAAGGAAAATAGGATATATTATTTCATCAGTTGGCAAGGGCATGACTCATCTTACAACACTTGGGAACCAGAGAATTGACTCAATAACGCAAGAGACCTAACATTTAACAAGCCATATCCAGGATTAGAATCAAGGTATAGAAAATCAAGTAGAAAGGTAAGAGGGTGAAGCTTGTTCCCTATGAGATTTTTCAATGCCAACCTGTGGAAAATGCTGGCCTGCAAGAGGAGGTCATTGCATTAGAGGAGGGGTGGTGTTATAATCTTACATCACTATAAGGCTTATGCTTGTACTGTACCATGTAGAATTCATGAGCCATGAGGAGTAGATGTCCTACTCCTCACTTGCAATCTATTATACATTGTGGGACACCCTCACTAGCCCTTGCATCTCATCCCCCCATCCACTCAAGTCCTATCATCAACTATCTTTCATCAAAAAATATTTTAAAAAAGTTGTTGGCTTTAATATCAATTCACCAGCAGGTGGTGGCCACAGATTTTTTTGAATCAAAATTGGATAAAAAATGTGAGGAGTCAGCAACTGTTGGGCTGACTCTTCACTAAAAAAGGTGAAGAGTAAACAAAGATAAAAGTATTCAATTGGTACACCCAAGTGAAGACTGCAGTTAGTTGCCTCTAAGACAAGGATTTGATGCCAGTGGGATGGCTGAGCTGTCCTTCTAAGGATCTGGCTCAGAGCTCTGGTTGGTCTTACAAGTGTGGAGCCTGCAGTACTTTATACCCAGAAGATTCAGAGGTGCCACAGGTTACTTTGGTGTTACGAGTCCAATCTGTGAAACTCTTACATACATGTCACACATCTAACACTATGTTGTACTAGCGCATTACTCCAGTTGTAGTCCTTTTTCCTTCATCCGACAATCTCATTATAGGACCTGGTTGCTGCTTAGAACCCTTGATCCCTCATCACAAAGACCGTACAGATAGAGCCATAACATATTGTCGGATCTCAACCAAGGATCGAGGAACCACAGGACAATCGAGAAGAAAAGAAAAGAAGAAATCAGATTGAAACTCACAGATTAGAATAGATTAAGATTAGAATTCATTGGATACAACCCGGATTTTCAAGAAGAAAGAACTCACATCTCAAAGTATTAGACTCAAACTCAGACCAACTAGATCTTCTATTACTAATAACACAAGATGGGCTACGGTGGTACTGTCAGGTTCTGACCTGTTGTCCAATCCTGCACCCAATTCATTGACTCGTGCAGTCACTGCGGTGATTGTTTCCACTGCCCTGTCACACGTTACCGCCATTCCATTACACCAATTCTCCCCAGATTTGAGATTAATGAATCAACATGCCCCCATACTTCGCAACCACCCCTCGTGCACCGCCAGTCTTAACCATCAGTCTGCTCACCCGTCATTATCTGAACCGCTCCACCCAACCACCATCCATATGGACCTTACAATACCAACCACGTGCGCCTTGACTGATGCCTGACCAGTCCACAAATAAATGAATTAGCACTCCAACCGGCATGATCACCCACACTCTTTCTCGCCCTCACAGCCAGGCTAACCTCCGACCGCACTCGGTCAATTCGTCGACAGCCCACCAACCATTCCAAGGTATAATAACCCAACTCTGGAAGCTATCAATTTGGCTTACTCCCCAACAATTTCTTTTCATTCTCATCTGTCGATCTCATTTTGTTATTAGCATTCTGCAAACAAATCCGCATTTGCCTTACTCCTCCTGTTTCCCTTTATTCATAAATATGTCGGCTTCCCCTTCCAATCGTTGTGTCTCCCACCCCGTCTACATTTCTGCTTGTTGGGAAGTCTCTGGCATGGTTAGCACAGCATTTCCATTATCTTCCCCGTCACATCATTCCTAATTCCTTCTTTAGATCGCTAGCACCCTCAACGCAAACGTTGGCTATCGCGTTGCCCAGACCGGTATCAGCTGCGGCGGGATCGAGGGTAACGACGCTCACAAACACCCTACACACCTTACGTCATTCTCCGGATCTGGCACCGCAGTCACCGTTGGCGAGATGTACTTCGCCAAGGGCAAGTTCTTTGCACCTAACAACCCAACACCCTCCAATTGTGTCCATGAATTCAGCCATGTCGTGCACCTCGGCAACTCAGAGGCCTTTCCCGGTGCTTTGATCAACAACACCGCTGTGTCCTCCATCGGTATCATTCTCAGCAAACGGGTTATCCAGGAGCCTGCGCACGACGGGAAGCCTACTACAATCTGTATCGTGCAACACACGGATTATAATCCAGTGGTACGCTTTCAGGCTTCTAACCCCGCCCTCATCGTCGCCCCGCTGACATGACCGCTCCCTAGACCGGTACGAACATTGAATTCCAGATGGAGTACTGGTGCCGGCCAGTACGCAACCTCGCTAAAGTCCAGAATCTATTTCAGCGAGGACGGGAAATGACTATCATGGGTTATGTTACCGGTAAAGATGTAGCCCGCCACATGTGGCAAGTCGATGTATGTTGCAGGGCCCCATCATGCTAATCCATATCGCTCTCGTTACTGACATTTCCCTTTCCAGGTCTACGCGATCTCCGTAGCCACTGGTGCCGAGTCTGTCAGCACTCCGA